TGTAATAAAAATAAATTATTTAAAAAATTATATTAGTTGGACAGTAATTTAGCTTTCAATAATGTTATAAATATCTATAGGCCAGTTACAGAGATGGTTTAAAATGTAGCACCTGTTTGCAAATTAGGTAAACAGTATTTTAAATTGCTGCATGACATTAACTGTGAGAAATAAAACCACAATAATTTAAAAAATATTTTGTGAAAAATAAGGCATAATTTCACACACATATAACATGTACAGCTAGATAGACATTGATTCATACTAAGGGTGCAAGGTATTTAAAAGTCTAGGTCAAAGATGATGATCGTGAAGTCTATCTTCATGAGTCACCAAAGAAATTCTTGACTAAATGATAGAAAAATAGAAAGATTTTTTGCTTTACAGTCCCCTTTATAGATGTGCCTAGGAAATACTAGCTGTTTTTATGGCTATTTTGAAGTTAAGATCACACTTCGCCTTCCTTGACAGAGAGGGAGATCATACTTTGTAAAAAATAGTTTTTAAAACCTTTGTTCTGTTCACAAAAGAATTTTATGCATTCTATTTATTTTATTAATGTTTGAAAATATAGCAATTATAGAGATGAAAATAAAACCCTTCAAAATTGAGCCATCCCCCCAAATAATGACTGTTTACATTGAGTATCTGCAGGCTCCATTCCACCAAATGCTTTCCACCGAGGACGCCTACTGCTTCTGGACAGTAGGTGAGCAGTTACCTTTGGAGAAAACACCACGTAGTAGCCGGTGCCCTTAGCTCTGCAGGTCAGTTTGCACACGTCCCCCGGTAGGACGCCGGCATATTTGGGAACCCATTCCACAAATGTCTTGACTCCTTTCGCGTCAGACTGATATCCATTTTTGGCCTCACATTGCTCGTGACGAAAAGATTTACCTAAGAACGAACACGTCACATTATTACTCTACTGTTCTACAACTTACGTAAATTCTTGTGCATTTAAATAATTATTTTTAAGAAGATGTTAACTTTCTTTCAGAGCCTCTCTACACACGAGTGTTGAAAGATTTTATCTCTACACAGAGTTGAAAATAGCAGTTATTTTCTTTCGACTCCTTGAATACTAAATTATTTATGGTAATAATTTAAAACCACTCATGTATTTGTTACTGATTTGCACGCTGGCGGAACCGTGCGGTTCCGGATTGATAGGCTAGTTCTCTAGCCTCTCCTATTTATTACTGCTGGAATGCAAATTACACGGGATGTGTGGTGGTTGCTGACCCCTGGGAGCAGCGTACCGTTGGCAGGACAGGGCGCGACACTGCAAGACCGGTAGATGGCCCTCTTTCCCGTGCAGTAGCGGCCACTGTTTCTGGGTGCTGGGTTATTGCAGTGTCGATAAGCAAACTGCACTCCTCCCCCACAGGAGCGGGAACACTGGCCCCAGGACCCCCAGGACCCCCAGTTGCCATGACTTGATGTCTGAAATAGAAAATAAAAGATATTTTAACTTAGAAGGGAGGAAAACATTCAAAATGTGCATTAGGAAATCACTTGCATTCAATGACAGCAGAAACTCCATCCCAGATAGAGTTGAGTTTAACATGGTCAAAGGTATTGAATGTTCTGTAATTACAATGTGTTTCCAGTTCTAGGCAATTTGTCTCTTCTGCTTCCCACACCCCATCCCCTCACTGAGGTTCTGAGCGCTTCACCTTAAGGACGTAGCGCTCTGCAAGAGTTACCTTCTGGTGTCTCTGGGCCACTTCGAATTCTCTTCTGATATTGTACATTTCTGTTAATAACCACTGAACCATAGTTAATGTTTTGTCCACTCTGATCTTACATCTTTAACAAAATGTATGACGCAAGGTTTTGCATGGCACCGGACATTAGTCAATCGTGCTTGGATCTTTTCTCCCTCCTTAGCGCTGAGGATCTGCAGCACCTTTGTTGACATCATACATCCTGCCTGTGACAGACTCTCTGCCACATGCATAAACCTATTCGACCTGGGTTTGGCTTGACATCTAATTAGATTAGAGTGTCACTTCCCTATCCGCCCCCCGAGAGGAAATGTGACAGATACTTAGGTACACCCAGGCCACATGCACACTGCACGCAGGAAGCGAAGAGCCCTGAAGTGGTACCCCAGGTTTATTACTCCAGAAACACTGCAACAGGAAGCTGAGAGACTCCAAAAGGAAGGATGCTGTAGACTCCGTTGCTGAGGGAACGCCTGAAGGAGGTCTGACTGCCTGTGTCGGGTGTCTGAGAAGGCTTGGCTGTGTGACAGTCTCGAAAGACAGAAGAAACAAGTGTATGGCAACACTTTTCTAGGGACTTTGGAAATCTCGTGAGAGCGAATGGATGCTTTGCTTGGGCCTTAACATTGAGGTGACAGTCGCTGACCTGAGAGTGGACCATATGGGGAGGGCGGAGGTATTTCCTTGGAGCAGGCATAGGTTACTGGAGCTTCTAAAGTTAGAGGAACTTGCTGTGAGGGGGAAAACATGACTATTTTGGAGCTTTCTCAGTATGCATAAGGACCATGTGTCAGTTCTACTGCTATTTACTCACTGAATTTAAATAAATGTATTCGGGTAACCTTAGTAAGAGAAGTTTGAAAATAAAGTTCCAAAAAGTGAGCCCTACTCGGGGTCTCAAGGAGACAGAATCTGAGCACCTACGATCTCCATGTCCTCGACTCCTGACGACTGGGAATGACTCCTGTGCTGAAAGGAAGGAGCAGTAAAAAGATCTCCCAAGAAAAAATATTTTAACTAGGAAATAAAGCCTTCTGGTGACAGTCCCCACACATGTCACAGGAATGTACTTCAGGTCTTGGGTTTCCAGGCATTGCGTGACAAGGAAATCACTTACTGAATAATATTTTTTCTTGGTTTTGTCCACACACTTGCCCTGCAGGCAAATCCTCCCTTTCCCACATGGTGTCCCTTCCACAGCTGGCAGCTTCTTGGTGAGACACACCATCTGGCCCTGGCGCACCACAGCACACCACAGGCGGGCGCAGACGTCCATGCCAGGACACACCGAGTACTCAGGCCCAAATGTCAGGTTGCACTGCTGGGTGGCATCGTAGGTCTGTCCTGGGAGTTCTTCAGGGCCCAGGATCTGCTTGCGAGGTAGGTCTAGCAAACAGTTACCTAAAAGAAAAAACAAGGTTGATCACTGTTCTGTGTTTAGACTTCAAACCGCTGAAATCATGGATCTAAAAAATGAAAGACTCCAGCCAGTGTCGAAGCCTGAGGCACCCACAGGTGCCAGTGTGAAGCTCGGGGGAGGGGCTCTGTGGGCGACGAGGCTGGGTGCCTCCTTGTGCTCACCAATACCCAACTTCCTCCAGGATTTTCAGCGCGTGGTGGACTCTGGGGTATCTATAATAATGGCACTGGTACGAGTAAATAAAAATGTTTTATAACGATTAGTTGTAAAAACAGCCATTGTGCTGAGAGACTAAAAAAAAAAAAATTGAGACAGACCTAGAGGAAATAAGATAATGGACATAACAACAACGACAAATAATAATAATAATATTTACAACATTGACAAACAGAGTTTGTCCTTGGTGCTCTATTTATATATATCTCACTCTCCATTTCCAACTTGCCTCTTCTTCATGTGCCTGCCATGTCCCCTTTCTATTAATTCCATGAATAATAACAAGGTGACACCTCATTCATTCTTGCATTCACTCAAAACAATGATAACTTGATATTATGCCTGCTATATCTGGTTAGCACCTACGATGTCCTCACAAAATTACTAGATATTGGGAAAACAGAACAATGACCCTGACCCACCCTTAAGTTCTTCCTATAAAGTGAAGGAAAGAAACTAAATAAAGTATTTCTCTCAGATTGATAAGAATTTTAATAAAGAGCTTTTAAGAGTCACCGAATAAAGGAGCAATGGGAGAAGAAAATAAATAATCTTTGGTAATTTGGGCCAGGGCCCATCTTTGTAGTCCTCCTTTCTCTTTCCTTTGTGTCAGTTACATAATGCAATGAGTATTTGCTGGGTATTTGGAATGTGTCTGCCCCCAGCACGTCGGTGCTCTCCTTGCAGGGTGGAATGGGGAGTGTGTAGGGATGTGGGAATCAACAGAAGCCGGCACCCACATGGATGATGCCAATTCAGAAGCTCAAACGTGCCTCACCTCCCCGCAAAAATCTTCCTTAAGGATACCTGCTCAGTGAGTTAAGGTCGTAAATTTTCAGTTTCTATGTGTTTTTACTCGATTTTAGGATTTACCTACTGATTATTAATAGTGTTTAAATAACAAATATTTGTTACACATTTGTGCTATTCTCAGTTCTTTAAATGTACTGGCTTATTACATCCTCACAAGAACGCCACAAAGCAGATCCGATTGTTTTCTTAATTTTACAGCAAACTGAAACACAGGAAACTGAGGAACATAAAGAGACATCATTAACCCAAGATCACAAAGCTATTAGGTTTTGTGCTCAGAGCCTGCCCTCCTCATCATATACCATCTCGACTCTGCTAGCATGTGGGTAGATTTCTTGTTTTTTTTTTTGCTGAAAGGCAAGTGTCTGTAGTGATCCTTTAAATGGTGGATATCGTGCCAAATAGTAGAAACACCTGGTCTCAAGTCTAATTCTGGCAAAACACTAAATAGCTGAGTGTTCTTGGCCAAGTTTGTTAACCTCTCCCTAATTTATTTTCAAGCTCTGTGAATGTTTCTTTTCTCACTGTCATGCTGTAAGTGTAAAATTACCTAACAAAGATATGAGGTGACCAGAAAAATATGAAACAAAGATAGTTACTACTACGCCCAACGTAGTTAACAATGATGCAAATGTCTTTACAATTACTACATTCAAGTTTTCTTCAAAGTGAATACCTTAGAATTTGTCAATCTGTGATGAAGGCATTATATGAAAATGAATAAAGAGCAAAGTTCCTATTTAAATTCTGAGCCAGAACGTTTGAAGAGGTAAAGCTTCTTAAGGCAAGCCAGAAAAAGCATTAAAAATAAGTATCCAGCCAAAGAGAACTTTGTTAAAAGAAACAGCAAGTTAAAAGAAAAACATCAACATCAAGTCAATAGCAAAGAATGATAGTAAAACCTCACTAAGCTTTGTTTGGAAGACAGAGTAAGATTAGGCAATTCAGAACCCCATAAAAAAGAGCATCATGTAAACAAGGGAACACTCAACAGACTGCTGATGTTAGAAGACTGTCAAGGAATCTCTGAGACACCAAGAATGCTTTCCAATTCTTCAGAAGTGCTCTTTTAAGAAAACTTTTTTTATTCTACTAAAAAGCACAGATCATAAGACTGGGGAACTAAATATTAGCTGGGAAGTCTTTCCACGTGTGGGTGCTTGTGGAATGGGTATACCTGGTTAATCTCCAGCCACAAGTCACCACCTCTCTCCATGGATGCGTAACCACCAACATCCTTTCTACCTTAGTAGTAGATGATAAGGGAAAAGAAATGTATAACACAAATGATTTGAAATCAGCTTATGAAAAGGGAGACTTCAAGAGGTGGCATCTCTTTATGCAGCTTAATACCACAGTATGTTTTAAAAAAGAGTAACACATTTGCTTTGCTATTAAAAATATGATATTCCGGTTGTATGGTTTTCCCTCAGAGGTCACCTGGAGATGACCTTTTCCTTTATTTTAAAATAAAATAATTCATTTCAGAATTGCCATTCATGTGTTATTCCAATGTTCTCAACATTAGGATTTGTTGCTGCATTAGTTTCTTTTTACCCTGAAATATATAGTCTATCTATTTCATTTTCTTGTCAAATTATCCTTTTGCTATAAAATAGGTACAGATATCACTACCAAATGGCAGACGAACACCACAGAACAATAAAAACAATCAATAAAGAGCCTTATTCTGAATCTCTCAGTATAAAATATTTACAAATCTCAGTAATAATGGATTGAATATAGGTTTTCCATTTTTAAAAACGTGTGCATTTGGGGGGAGGCGGTGGAAGAGGAAATTAATCAGTGTCTTACTTAGTATGATTTATGTTGATCTCTATAAGTGCCCGTCTACTGCTGACTCTTCTTACGCTGTTCCACTTTTATTCTCAACCACTCCTTCATACCCGCTTCACATGGTTTTTAATTTACCCTAGTCTGCAATCCCACATGCGCCTTGCTGCCAACATCTTGTCTGTTCGTTCTGTTCCACCGACTGCCAAGTTGCTTTTTTCCTTTTTCTCTCCCTTTTCTCTCTCCCTCCTTTCCTTTCTTCCTTCCTTCCTTTTGTTTTAACATTTGGCACAAATAAATCGATGGTTTCTAAAAAAGAGACAATAGAAACGCATGCATATTGCATATTTGTTTTTACTCTCCGTATTAAATTAAATGGGACAAGTAAGGTGAAAAATTACAAAGTAAAATGCAGTAGTTGGCGATGGACAAATAAAGGAAAGGATGGTCCCTCCACGGACACAAGGTACACCAAGGCGTGATGGAAAGTATGCACGCCTCCAGGAAATGGAACAGAAAAACCTTTGTTTTTTTAATATCTGACTTCCAGCACTGTTTGTCTTTCATATTAATCATTAATGGAAATTAGTGAATTGACATTGGTTGTTCTTTATTCTTTCCATCCTGCCCTCCCCCCCGCCCCCACCCATTTCTAGCACTGAAGTTATTTCTGTCTTCTATTCCTTGTCAGTATACAGGTAAGAAATTAACTTTTGGCCCAAATATCCATAGCCTAGGAGAAATCAATTAATATTCTTCCTGAAATTTATTCAAAGGAGCCTAAAAAATACTGCAAACTCTTCTCTTTTACTTCCTATTATCATCTCCCTGACTCTGCAACTCTTCTTTTAGTCTTTATTCGAATGTCTAACATTAAATGAGAAACTGATGATATTAGATACAGAGAATAAAAACTGATGGTTGCCAGATGGGAGAGGAAGTTGGGGGGGCTGGATGAAAAAGCTGAAGGATTAAGATGTGCAAATTGGTAGTTACAAAATAGTCATGGGGAT